TACTACTCTCTCTCTCTCTCTCTCTCTCTCTCTCTCTCTCTCTCTCTCTCTCTCTCTCTCTCTCTTTCTCTAAAAAATTATATTACAAATAAATTATTTTATATCATTGAGACTACTTATTGAAAATATCTATTTTGTTGTCGTGCACATTTTTCAATAGAATATGACATTGCTTTGATGACAACTGTTAAAAATTGAAAAACATTAAGCTTCGTGAAAGAACTTCGTGATACAGTTTAAATATTAAAGTTGTTGCACATTGTATTGTACTCCTATTATGTCTCATACCAAAGTGTACTTGGCTTATTGCTCTATATTGCAAATCTGGTGCATCCAGATTGCATCAATGTGGTATATGGGTCGTTAGTCGATGCGCATAATCTTCGATCGCAAACGTGGCTGGTTGGACGATTATACCTGGCCTGGCGTATCGATCCCACTAGTCGATATGGATATCGAATTCGAATCTTGGGGATGATCCTTCCCCGGCACCGAGACGGCTGCGAGATAGAACCGGAGGCACAGAATTGCGAGCAACCCAGTTTCGAGAATGAATGGCAAATGAGCGCCGGAGCTCCCAGCGGACATGGACATTCCTTTTCGAGGGAAGGGCCTTAAACCCTTTCGCTGTTAAAAAACCATCGTAACCGCTAGATTACATCAGATCCAAAAAATTATGAATCTGTCACTATCTGTGGAATCAAAGGGTCGTACAATTCAATCCAATTTCAATTGAAATTGAGAAACGTGCGTCTGTCTGTAATATCTATGAAAACGAAAGTTTTCTGCGGAAAAATTAACACAAGTTGTAAAACTTTAAGTTGATGCGGATAATGAAAATCTAAAACTTTATATAATGTAACAAAAACGAAGCAGCATTGGGAGAACTCTAAGATATATCTACAAGAATCTGCAATATTAACCTGTATTGAATTATCAAGAGTTTATAATCAAAGATTCGAAGAAGTGAAATCCCCCTGACATTAAGGATTTATGCAACTGAGAGTTTACGAAATAAAGATTGCGAGAAATCAAGATTTAGAAACACAAATAAATGAAATAAATAATATAATTATATTATTATTACATTATTAAACTTTTTTAGAATAATTTGATGCATATTATTTTAAAACCATGACAAATATTGACTTTTTATGCCACGCGCGATAAATATTTCTAATAAATATCGATTTTTTTTTTTTTCAATCATTACCTTTATTTCCTTTGTTGTTCTAAAATTCTACAATGATGTAGTTGCTCAATTAGCGACAATATATCAACAAAATACACTTCTTACTTCTTCCGTTTCTCGCAATGAGTCATCCATTACGACCGATAGTACATTGAAGATCTTTCGAACGTTTCACGTCACAAGCTTTCTCATCTTATCAGAATCTAGTGATGGCGTTGAATTTAACGAGCGCAATAATTAAATTAAAAATAAGGAGTTTGAAAGTGACCTAGATCGTAACTCCTTGTTCATCGTTTCGCTCGAGATATAAATTGTCCGATCGATATAATATAATTCGAATACGTCGTAAAAACTGATGGCTTATTTCTCTGGCTGTAATAACCATTATAATAAATGGAAATGTCAGACCAGCTGCCATCTTTTCCGTAAGGGGGGAGATTCTATCACAATGTATCTATAAGTGTTATACCCTTTCTATTTCTCTCTCATAATCTATCTTCCCCTCCGTTTACACGCAGTTATTTTGTTATGGCGCAATAACGCATTGTCTAGATATTGTAAGAGCTTAACTTTGTATAGCTATTGCATTTTTATTCGCCAAGAATAATCACCTCGCTAATTTTTTACGAATCTAAAGCGGCTAGTTGTTAAATGAGATAATATATTTGGAAAATATCATATATTAAGCAATTTGAACTCTATAAGAAATATATTTATGGTAACTATAATTATCAATAATTGCTTTACGAGTGCGATAAATGCGATAAAATAACGCATCAAGCGTAACAAACAAAGCAATCGAGGTCTATCGCTCTATGTTACTGCATCGCATATTGCAATTAAAAAAAAAAAAAAAAAAAAAAAAAAAGTTTAAAATCGACTACGCTTTTATCCGAAAATCTCAATGGTATTGAAATATTCTGAGGGAGTATTTTCAACGTACGTAGAGAAAAATATGAGAGCCCGCGCACGTGTTTAGCCACGATAACATTCATTTACTCGAAAATCGTTTACAACTCGCGCGTATTCTGTTTCAATCGCATAATTGCTAAAACATCACTCGCAATGGATTTTATCCCGCGGCAAAATCCGCACAATTAAATTTGGCATAAATCGATTTTATTACGAACGACAGATAATCGCGTGTATGGCGTACATCGTACTATGCTGTACTGATGCTTCTCTCGGTTCTTATCTGCTTATGAAGATCTCGTTTGTTTCGGAAACGCGCGATCGGGGTGTCATCGATTCATTGCACAGAAAATCTCATTGTACATTCGAACAAATAGATATAATTTCCATATTCACACGAACGATTGGTTACACTGGATGGACTTACTTTTCCAAACGATTTTCATGAATTTCACTCGTAAATATCGTCCATCAAAAAATATCCGCTGTGTCTTTTTTCACATGTCCCATATTAATAAATATTCTTGCAATAACTATATCTAATACCATATGTTAGGATTTCGACGACTGGCTTTTAAGCTGCACAATATATTCTCAGATTTTATTACAGTTTTTTTACATAAAATATTTTGATCGAATTATAGTAACAAGTTTGTTTGAAAATGAAAATATAAATATGCTAATATAGCATTAAAACGCGTAAACAAAGATATTGTTAAGAGAATATAGTTTTATAATAATTTTATATTTAATGACTAAAAAAATAATAGCTTTTTAATTAAACGGATTATATTTATTATAGAGGAATTCTTTTTAATCCTTTTTATATAAAAATATAAAAGGATTTTTATATTTTTTAATTTGTGACTACAAATATGAAAATTTATTTACAATTTAAGTTTTAATATTGTGAAAGTGCAATAAAATTTTAGTATTTAATTAATTTTATATAAATACTAAAATGTGAATATATGATTTAACTGTTAAAATATTTTTTAGTTTTAAAAGGATAACAATTTTTTAAAAACGATATTGAAAATTTTATTAAAAAAAAAAAACAAAAAAAATATACGTTTCAAGCTGTACGTAAATTAGTAGATACGTAAGAGATTGCAAATTATTGTGTATAAATAGAAATATCGCGTTGCCTCGATAGTCACAACGTTCACGCTGACAATATGACATTCCATAAAATATTCCAGCAAATTCCAGTGTTATATCGCGATTTCGATTTTCGGTCTCGCGCAGGAAATAGGAAAGAATCCTTAGAATAAGACCGAGCGAATTGCATTTCGCACACTCATCTCTGTATAAGTACAACCGAGAGCAAACCGCAAGCCGCAAGTGGAAAACGTCTTCCCATCGTTGCATTTTTCAAAAAGTGTGAAACGAACTTTACATTCGAATCTGCTCTCTAACGTCGACGGTATCGGCAGTCTTATCAATAATAAATGTCGCTTTTATTACACGTGCCCGCTCTCGAAGTGCGGTTGCCTGGTGGTGCGAGAATGCAAACTGTATCATTGACTTTTTTTTTTTATTTTTAGATGCGCCATCCAATCCAAATGAAGCCGGCCGACAGTGAGAACCGGAACGGTGAGTGAGACTTTTAATTATCTTAACAAAACGTTATATATATATATATATATATATATATATATATATAAGATTATAAATTAAAATTCTGATATCTTGCATTTAGACCGTATTATAAGTCGATCGAATTAATCAAATTAATTTTTGAGAAAATCAAAGTATTATTTTCCTCACAAGAATCATATTCTTCTTTCTTTAATCTTTTTCATTCTTTATTCTTCGCTCTTTATACCTTTATTATATTAGCGACACTCAAAAAAAATGTTTCGCTAGTTCAATTAGAATTTTATCTGTACGTAGAATTTATAGCAGCGACATAGCATCTAACAATATATGTTCTAACAAATTTAGATCTCATAACTAAATCACACAGTCATTTTTATAAGAGATATGAGTGGCTATTATCTGATTGAACGTTAGAGATATCTTCTTGCTAAATTTGACAAATTGTTCAGATGTAAATTCTGTCTCTATCATCTATATTGATTAAATATGAAACATACGCGATATCGCATCGTCTTTATTAGTCATTTTTCATTTTAGCTAATTTTTCATATCTAAATAATCTAATACGTTACGACTCCAATATCATTTCTTTCAGTGAATAATACAACGATTGAAGTAATAATAATTTGCTTTCTCGATCGATCCATCAAAGCAATAGAAAAATGCTAGTATATTACAGCGTTACATTAGAAAAAAAAAATTTCGATAAAAGATTCTTTCCTCGAGACTTTTATCTTTTACTGAGAGCAAACTAAACTCTTTTCGTATACATCTACCTTGAATTTTTTAACACAGAACAGATCTTTTGTAATTTCAAATATAATAAGATTCCTAGTATCTCGTTTAACGCTCCCTCGATCAACCTCGAAGAGTTCTGGCACGATTAAGGACGGAATTCCAGGTAACATAGCATGACGATATAACCGAAAGAGAAGACAATAGCGAAGGTAAAGTTAACTCTCTTCGCGTCGCAACCTCGGCGGAGAATGCGGCTCAAAGCATGTTCATTAGATGCTAATTAATTGGCTGAATTGAGGGGCTTGTCGAGATTGCGTAGTCAAAGAAGAGACATAAGCGAGCTGCGAAGCATCAAGTAGTAGAACGATAAGGTAGGCCAGGAAAATCGTGAGATGGGGCAGGGCAGAGACGAGTAAATTTTGCCGACGACATATAATTACAAAAACGAAAGATCAAATCGTGCAAGTTGCAAATTTTTACATAGCGTACATCCCTTTCTTCCTTTTCTTATCTTCTTAATAAACCTCTTAACTTTTTAAATCCTCGACTTTTATCGGTAAATTTAGAATTAGAATTCGTTAATGAAGGCATTGTTTGTTAAATTAGTATCGTAGATGTCAGAAAAAAACATTGGATGTTGCTTTTAGATATTGTAATAAATCTTGTGTTAAATATTTAATTTATAGTAACCATTTTAACATAAAGTAGAAATGAACACAAATTTTCTTTTAATCGTTGTAAAATCCTATATTTTAAAAATAAAAAATTTTTCGCCCTTCGATTTAAGCATGTATTACAAAAATTATAAATCAAGTGAAGTGTTAAACAAAATGTCCGTATTCTCGATAATGCTGAAAAGCAAAAAAAAAAAAAAAAAGAAAGAATGTGATCGAGGAAGCGGAAGAAAGATAATAATTTCGCGCGATGCATAAATATCATTCATGTAGTAGTAGAGTTTAGCTTGGAGTTCTCTAATTCCCCTCCCCCTCGTCGCTCGTATCGATCGGAACAGGGCCATGTAAAAATTCGAGAACGTCGGAAAAGCGCATCGGATAGTGCCGCGAAAACCAACAGGAGAGTCAACGAACGTGGCAAAACGCGCGATTTTTTTACGGATAACTGCGCCGCGTTAGCAATAAAAATTCGACTACCGGCTGGACGGGGGGAGGGGGGAGGGGTGTAACGTAAAGCGTATATAAAACCGGCCACGTCGGTGGGACGACGCAAAACGAATGCTAATGAAATATTAACGACACCCGTCACGTGCTGCGCCCGGCTGGACCGCTCGGTTCCCCCCTTTCCTCTTCCTCCCCCTTTCTCTGTTTCTTTCCTTTCTCTCCTGCATGCATGCTCGTTCACTCGCCCGTTCCACGCTTTACCTCCTACGCCCCACTTCCCCCCTTTTACTCATCCCGTTTGTCTTTCTTCCTCTCTCTCTCTCTCTCTCTCTCTCTCTCCTGACTTGTATAGATTACTGCCGATAGGCGGCAAAGTCTATTTTACTTATCGCATAAGCAGAGCGAACTGGAGTACATGTGGATAACATTCGCGGTTATATATAAAAATGGATAGACACAACGTGGTGTAACCGAAACCGAGATCAGGCTATTCGTAACCACGCGCACGTGCAATACGGAAAAGGATTTTTCCATATAGGATGCGGGACGTGCGGCCGCCATGAATAGCATCAGTTGTAGCTACATGCAAATCCCGGTAAAACGGGAAAATAGTAAACAAGAAGGGAACGCACGTTATCCGGGTATCAGAGCATTATAGTTGCCTTGTCGTTAGGTGAATCTCACGAACGCCGCAATTGACATAAGCTAAATTCAGCGGATAAAGCAGCTCGCAAACTCGCGTACAAAGCGCGAGATTAGTCAGAAAACGTGAACCACCTTTACCTTCTTGAAAAGTGCACGGAAAATGTACGCAACACTTTGACACGGCTTTTACATGATCGAACCGAGTGTTTTACAGTAAACTGCTTGACACGTACATTTAGAGAGGAATTAATTTCCGAATTTTATCAGCGCGAATCTAAAGTTTCTAAATAAAAAAGATATCAGGACAACAACTTCAGTTCACAAAATATCTTTCAATAATTACCTTTTGTGGTTAAAATTAATAATAATAAATGGTATACGAAGATGCTATTAGAATGACGTAAAAAAAAAAAA